TAATTTTTTTCAGTTCATATTTGGAAACACAGATGACAAGAAGAAAGTAGCATCTGTTGTGAACTGGATTTTTGATAATCAATATCTAGTTCTTATGGAATGGGTAAAAGGAATGTGCTCTAATCACGCAGGATTTTCTGAACTAAGCCTATGGGTGCAGGTCCACAATGTACCCCTCGACTGGCTTAGTGCTGATGTTGGGTTAAAGATCGGGAAATTCGTCAAAAAGGTCAAAAATGTGTCTGTGATCAAAGCAGGTGGAAGTAAAGGCAATTACATTAGACTGCTCATTACGGTGGATCTCAATCAACCGCTTCCTAGATGCACCAGGATGAAATTGCAGGATCAGCAAGTCACCATATCATTTCAATACGAGAAACTTGTCAACCTCTGTTATTATTGTGGTCGCTTGGGGCATATGGATAAAATGTGCAGCAAAAGATTAGCAGACATAAACCAAGGTATGTTAAAAGAAGGTCAATACGGTGATTGGATGAAAGCCTCAGATGGAGGAGGTTATTCTAACTCCACTTCAAGATCCAATACTCCTCATCCTACTGCATTTATCATTCCTCAACAAACCAAGCAGCAAGGATCCTCGAGCAAGAATAATTTTGATGCCAACCACAGCCCAGTCAAAGAAAAAGCAGACAATCTCAATCCCAGCCCTCTGATTAGCAGTTCAGAAGAAGTTGTGGGAATGGATCATCTTCAGAGTCTTCCAATCATCCCCTTCTCTCCTGAGAGCATTACCCCAATGCCAAAACTGAATCACCATGAGGAGAAACTCACCATAGCAGGAGGCTTTCCAGACCAGATTGTAGCCATAGAGAATTCCCCTGCTCCTGATCATGCCATGGTTGAGGTGCCAATTGCCATTCAATCTGATATTCCCCAGCATGATGATCAACTCAGGGGCAGTACAACTTCTTCATCTTGAGGGTGGAAGAGAGCAAAACCCAAAGTAAGCAGAATTAACAGAAACTCAAGCAAGTCTGACAGCTCACCCAAATCAGGGGATAAACTCAAGAGAATAAGGGAAGAAAATCAGGAGACAATGGACAATATCAAAGTGGAAAATGCCAGTGCCAGAGACAAGAAGAAAGCAAAACTCTCAACTTCTAAGGTGGAGGAAGCCAGCCTCAAGTGGCCCCAAGTGAATAAATGAAGCTAATCTTGTGGAACTGTAGAGGTCTGGGTGGGCCCTCTACAGTGTCCCAGCTGAAGGATTCCTCTCGAATTCACCACCCAAGTTTTGTCTTTCTTTCAGAAACAAAAAAACAAAAAGATTTTATAAGAACAGAACTAGAAGCTGGAAGTTAAACATTAAAGGCAAGCTCAAACACTTTCTATGGAAGTGTTATTCTGATGTCCTTCCTGTAACACCCCCCCTAAACTTACTAAAATCAGAGTAAATTTTTCGCGCTATAAAAGGAAAGCACTGAT